TGGTTGGCTATTTCTTTACTGGGTACACATATCTGTAACTGTGTGCAGGAGACACATGGTGCAGTCTTCTAGGCCTGCACAGTCCCCCTGCCATGGAGGGGCTTTTGCGCTCCTCTGGCATGCGGACTTTGAGTCTTGGTCTTTTTTGGGTGTGGTTATTATCGGCTCCTGAGATTGATCACTTCCTGTCTTTCTTCAGACCAACTTTTTATCCCCCCTCCTCCCTCTTTAATGGACAAACACACTTCCAAATGATTAATATCTGCCCCAGACCCTGCCAGTCACGCTTTCCACCTGCTGTGTTCCCAGACTCTTTGGAAGGTTCTGAGGTTTGCCCTCACAGGATTCTGGGCTTCCCCTTTTTCTTCTGCATTAGCAGTGGGGCTACCTACTTCCTTAAATTCCTGTTCATTTGAATTTCTTCCCACTTCTCCTTCTCTTCTTTTTACCCTCTTATTAGCTGCTTCTCAAGAATTTAGTAACAAGTGTGCAATGCTTACATCTGGAGAGCTTGATGCCTGCATAAATCACTGTCTTGGAATTTGATGTTTAAAAATAAAATATATAATCCTTAAGTACAAAATACCTGCTATCATTTTAAGGCAATAATGCAGGAATTAGAGTATTATATTTAGCATTACCAAAATCTTAGTCATTTCTGTGTTATATTGAAAACTCGAGTGACAGGTTCAAACTGTGAGGCATGCATTTTATTAATAAGGTAAACAGGCCTTGATGGTGGAAGGAAAAGGTGGCAGCATCCACTTTCTCATCTTCTGAAGTTGGGTAAAACAATAATTAATGGTTAAAGGGAAGGCAGAAGGTGAAAGCCACTGATTAGATTTCAGAAGAAACATGAAAATAGAACATGTTTCCTTCAGTGATTAGCAGATGAACCTCACAGGTCCACAGATACAGATAAATTAAGCATTTAGTGAATTTGTCTTTTTGAGTTTCCATAAAAAGTACCAAGAGCTTAAGTGAAGAGTAGAAAACAGCAAAATCAATCACTGAATTTTGTGACCTTGATCCCCATGCTAGAGAGTCTGAAACCGGAGTGACTGTCACAGGTACAGACTATGCGGCAGGCTTTGTCTCAGCTGAAAGGCAAGGTGCCCAGTTTTAGCCTCCTGCGGGTCTCCAAACATGCTCCTGAAAGTGGCCTCTCTGTGAAGGACCTGCTTTTGTACCCGCCCCCCATCTCTGGAGAGAATCTCAGGGCATCATCCTGCTGAACTCCTCCCCATGGTTTGTTGTCTGAAACAGCATTCCAAAGAGCAGTTTCTGTTTTCTGTTCTCGCAGATGCACGAGTTTGAGTGTGTTGGGTTGCTCTTTAGCAAAAACAAACAAAGCTTATGGGAAAAGGAAATGCCTCCAAGAACAAGAAAGAGAAGTGTGAGAAAAAGCAGCTGTCATCACACTCTTAGCCTTTCTGGGCCATTCATTTAGCTAGAGTATTTCTGCAGGTCAACTCCCTTACTGATCCCCGCTGTGCTCTGGGAGAACAAAAGGTCAGTGTTTTCTGTGAGCACAGGGTACATTTTGACTTGGTGGGACCAACTCTCCTAAAAAGAGCTGAAAGAGGAGATCGGGTCCTAGGTCCTTCCCCTATGGGATTCTCTATCTGCTTTAACTGGAGCAGCATCTATCCTCAGCTCTTCGGTATTTTCTTTCTTGAGCTCCATCTTGTATCCCAGTGAGCTCCATCTTGACCCATTTCCCAGTGAGCTACCGGACCCATTTCCTGCCCAGAGTATATGACTCTCTCTCTCTCTCAAATCCTCTCCCCACTCTCCAGTCTCCATGGCCTCTATTCTGCTTCTCAGCTCACGGGTTGGAATCCCTGCAGATTCCCAGAACTGACCCAGGCCACTCCAGAATTCTCTGTTTTTGTCCAATTTCTGCATCCTATTTCCCTCCTTGGCAATTCTGCTGAATATACTGCTTCCCCATACCCTCAATGCAGGGAAGCTTCTCTTCTGAGGTCAGGTCCTATGTTTCCAGCTTCCAGTCTCTGCCTTGATGACTTCTGGGGGACCCCAGCCCCCCATATGCAATATGTCCCCAGCTCACTTCTCTGTTCTGACTCCCATGTTCCATTTCAACATCACCACTCTGTCAGATCTCAGGGACTTTGCCAAGTGGCTTCCTTGTCCTAGAGACGGTCCCTTTACCCCACTTCACCAGCCACACTGTACACACAGCCACAGCCTCCTCACCCTTCCGTAGTTAGCATGATGTCTCCTCTACAGGGCCTCTGCCCTAGGCCACCCTCTGTGAGTAGATCCTCAATTGCATCTTTCATGCCATTCCTTAAACTTCCATCTTAGCTCATTCTACTTGCTGTTACTTATTTTATTTCCTATTTGTCTGTAGTCTAATTCCCTGGCTAGTGTTTAAGCTCTGTCAGGAATTTTTCAGCACCAAATTCTCTAAGTGCAATGGCTAACACATAGCCTCGGGATGGTGTATTGAATGGGTGGATGAGTTTTCCTGGTCACTCATCTTCTGAACTGGAGTGGTAACTGACTTTCTCCTCTCTGTTGCTCTTCAAATCCAATCCTTCCCTGTCCTTACCTCCGCCTTTCCTGTTTCTCCTGTAAGCCCTGTTCCTTGCCAGAGCTGGAGGTGGACCCTGCTTCTTTCAAATTCTCTGATTCTGTTTATATTCTCTGATTTCATTTTTACCTTCTAGTATCACATCACTTTCTACCTTGTACTATAGTTATTTATATACAGGGATTGCAAACTCCTCCCTACATAGGAAAATATAACAATAGGGATTTTTGTTTTGCATTTTCTTTACCCAATGCCTGGACAGTTTTTCAATGAATATTCACAGAATGACTGTGAAAGTGATCTATAATCCCAAATAGAGGCAAACACACTGAGTAGGATAGAGATGTCAGTTCCCGTGACATCTGGGTGTAGAACAGCAAAGAACTCCGTTTACGATCTTTGCAGGCCCCTGGCAGAGAGGCCTCACCAATCAGGGAGACCGTTCCCCTGAATGCCAGGGCTCCCTGTTGCTCTCCTCTTTGGACTATGAACTGGAACCAAGACCCAGCCTCAGAGGGTGCTTTTAGAGAGAGGTGTGGTTTAACACCTGGTTTATGTCTTAGTGATTTACTCCACTTTCGCTTAGAGTCAACAGAGTAAGATTTCAGAGACTGACGTGACCACAGGAAAATTGGGCTTGCAGTGGCCTACTGGAGCATGGGAGAGTTACCAGCTTTTCTTTAACTTTCTTCTGTCCCCTCCTCTTCAGACATTAGGGTCTGAGTTCCTATTCAAGTGATAAAATGTGACCTTTTTAATTAGGAAAGTTAAAATAACTGAGACTTGCTTGGCATGCTTGGTGAACCAGGGATCCTTCAGGATTCTTTATTAACAGAAATTATAGCAGCAGGGAGGGAGGTTTATCTCATGAGGTAGTTCCGGTTGGGTGGCAGAGGCTCCCTAAAGTGCCTGGCACCTTGTAGCCAAGGGTCATGACCTCTTTCTGATGTCTGCCAAGGGCACAAGAAGACAGAGCAGGACACACATGTCCTTATATTTGGCCAGCACATGAGTTCTTTCCCATCACTGAAACAGAATGGCTGCAGCCTGAAACTTAAAGGAGAGACTTATTCGGATCTCAATTTCTAGTCATTTCAGTCCAGAGTCAATGGGCTCAGAGGTAGACATGGCATGATGGAAAAGTGTCATGGAGGAAAGCTGCTCATCCCATGGTAGCCAGAAAGCATGGAGAAGGGGAGGAGTCAGGAACAAGAATGCTCCTTCCTAGTGTGATTCTACCAACCCGTTTGCAACCAGGCCCCATCTCCTAACAGCACATTTAACATACTTGGCTATAAAGTCATCAGTGGATTAAGCCACCAATGAACCCTGCAGCCCTATGAGCCAGTCACCTTCCACACAGATGAAATACCTTTTGGGAGGGTATTTTAGGTCCAAACCATACAATCAATGCATCGTTATTGACCCTTACCATGGACCAGGGACTTTGCCAATCACTGTGGATATAGATCCAAAACAGAAAGGACTTATTTGGCTACATCAGACTCATAGACATGTAAGCTACATGTTAGGCTATGAAGTGTAAATAGTTCTCTAACATTACACGAGTAAAAAGACAGGGAGAGACTTACCCCCAAGAAGTGGTGATATTAGTACCACACTGAGCTAACTTACATCAAAAATAAGACAGAAAAGAAAACCAACTTGTCGAAGGTCATACATTGACTGTAAGTAGCAGAACTTGAATTCTTACCTGAGGGAGTCTTACCTCAATACTCCTGACCCTGTGTTCTTATTGTAATATTTCACTTTACGTCACATAAGAGCCTAGGCAAGTATATGGTGATGTACTACTTAGCTTGTGCTGTCTGGTGACAGGTGATTGTGAGATTAAAAAAATTTGACAGTGTTTTGTATCCTGCTAAATTCCAGACCGACCATGGTGGGAGTATCTACACTATAAAAACTAGCATCCACTGTAAATCAGAACTTTTCTTTTCTGAAGAGTGGCTGTTAAACATTTATTAGTATAACACTTTATAAGCAATACTACTACATCCTTTAAAAATTCAAAACATGTAGTTGGGTTTTTACAAAGTTGTAAATCTGGTGGATCTGAATATTTAGTTGCATATGAATAATTTCAGGGCGATGGGGCTTTTAAAAGGTCTGGGCTAAGAGAAGAAACTTGTGTTTAAACAAGAAAAGACCCAAAATGAAACGAGAACACATTTTAGGATACAAAGTGTTAAAGTATGTTATTTTTGTGTTTTTATTTTTACACTAAAGGTGCCAAGACAACTCCTCAGATCAAGGGTTCTAACTCTGGCCACACATTTAGAATCACCCAGGGAATCAATAAAAATACTAAGAGTTAGTGTCAGTGCCCAGATGTATTTCAGAATTGCTACACACAAGTGGGATTTCTATCGTCTCACTTCAGTTCTGAACCTGAGTGTTTATCATTTTTCTGTTTCAGGGTAGCTGTTTTACGTTAGATGTATAGGGCAGAAGACTTAGCTCTGGAGCGTTCAGGTTTTCAGCTGAAAGAAGGAACTATGTTTGAAGACTCCTACCGGACTAGTGTCATGAATTAGCAGGTGAGACCCTGGGTCTCCACGTGAGCCCTTTGCTCTACTGAGGTGAAGTTTTTGAGGGCTGTGGGAGGTGGTGAGTGTATCTTGCATGTGGGAGGAATATAAGTAATTAGTGGTGAGAGGGGGTGCTGTGGTAGAGTCAAGATGGCCTTTCACTAACAGGTCAGATTTATTTCCCCTTCCCTGGGCTGTTGAGGAAGCCAGATAGTATTGAGCAGTACAGAATGGCAGAAGTAATAGTCTCCACCAATAGTTTCGGTCAGTTTCTTGAGTCTTGAGCTACCACATAGAATATTTGGCATATACAAAGACTCTGTAGATAGTTCCCAAGGCATGTGGGGGTGCTGAGAGAGACCATGTAAGTCCATATTTCCGTTTGTTCTTATCAACGCACCAAACCAACCCAGCTACCAGTGACTGAGGCATACCATGGAGCAAACCCAGTCAGCACCACAGAGAGCAGAGGAATCTGGCTGACCCTTGCTCAAATTCCCTTAAAATTGTGAGATCTATAAAACAGCCATCATCAGTTACTAAATTCTATGATGATTCATTGCACAATAATCAAGGACCAGAATTCTCTCCCAGGTGTGTGGAATGTGTGCCTGGTTGTCCAGAAATCATTTGCTGGGGTAACCATAAGGGTTTTTCCCTTAGCCTTTTATCTACATGTTATCCAAGCATTTCCTTCATTATTCACCTAAGTAAACTATGTGTCAGTGACAAACGAAAACTCATGCACAGAGAGTAAATCACCCATTCCGCTCCATTTAATAGTCAGTGGTGTGGTGGAGTTTAAATGAGATCAAATGAAGAGTCGGGAAACTTTAACTTTAGTTCTAGGTTTGACCTCAGTACCTCCACAGTCTTGAGGAAGCCATGGACGTTTACCTAGACTTATTTTGAATGTTTGTAAAATGAGAAAGTGAAACTATTGACACTGAATTCTTTTTCACTTGTGGGATTTGGGGTCAGTCAATCTGATGATATGTCGAACAGTAACTACCAAAGCAGAGAGATGATTTTCACAAGAAACACACGGATTGTCAGTCTTCCCTTGATCAACACCCACCGCACAAGAGTGAAAAGCCTTATGTCTACCTCACTCCTAACTTTCTTAAAACTTGACTTCCTGAGTATGCATGCCTATTTTAAATGCACACTGCTTAAGCAGAAAGAAGAAAGAAATGAAATGCAGCTCCCCATCCATTCTTTCATCCCGTACAATTCTGTAGGGGCTTTGTATTCAGTGTGATTATGCTGGGTGAAGGATGCTCTGTGCCATGGGCTGTTCCGGTGGAACAAGATATAGAATAATGACATTCATGACATGTAAGTCTGGATTTACTATTCAGCAACAAATCTGTCTGTGGGTCTTTCCGAATTTATCCACCTCGCCTTATTGACATGTCATAAGCAGAAAGAAAGCGTTCTTTGTGTGGAAGGCTGAAATATGTACCATCCCAGGACTGTAAATACAGTTGCTCACTTCCTGAAGCTCCAGTTAATCCCCACTGACCTTTGCCAAAGTGTTTTTTCTTTTCTGCCCTCCATTAATTGCAGAGGACCTAACCCACAGCTGCTGTCAATGCACATCACAAGGTCTTGAAAGCTGGAAAGTTGTGGCTCCATGCAGGCTTGAATCATATTTCTTCATCCCTACAACCTTGTGTAGAAGTTTATAATTTCTTGGTAGTTAGACGTCAAAGCCAAACTCTTAACTTAGTACATGGAATCATGAAAAGAGCTATTCTCCTTCACCTATAAATCAGTACCAGCAGCAGCAGCAGCACAAACATGAACGGCGTGGAGTGTGTGACCCATGGGTGGCAGCTGTGAGAATGCACCTCATTATTTGCATTCAAGGGATCTTTTATCCCCAGCTGCGTGAGCCAAACCACAGAGTTTGCAGAATGCTTGGGATGCTTCTTGTAGACTCTGGACACAAAGAATCTGGGATGTGTGATGTGGTTCTGAAATAGCAACCACTAAAGAGAAAAGAACTAAATGGAACAATTATTATGGCTCTTCATGTGTGGAGAATGTATGTATACAGAAGAAAGCACATGTGTGTTTTTTAAGGCTATGTATTTGCTGACTTTGACTGATCTCTCTCTCTCTCTCTCTCTCTCTCTCTCTCTCTCTCTGAGACAATCGAGGTCATTGTTTTCAACGCATAACCCAGAAGAGTGGCAGAATGACTGAGTGGGCACCAAGCCATCATACCTGTGGTTGGCCATATTCAGTGAGAGAATTGCAGAATGAGAAAAGGAGCCTGTGTTTTTCTTATTAATAGTTAAGCCATTGCCCATGATAAGAGACTTTCTAAGTTTACAAATAGAAAACTGGTCATTCAAGTTGGCAACCTTCCAAAATAGACTGCTTCACTCAGTATTGAGCAATTTTGGTATGCTACAGGCTCTAACAGAAGTTGTTTTCCATTCAAAATTGATGTATTTCCAACTTATCCTCTCTCTCCTAAAGAGCCTATGGAAAAAAATCACCTGGGACAGAAAGAGGAAGGTTGGAAATATTTTTGTTTATGTTAAAGTCAGGAAAAACCACCATCTACTCCAAGGTCCCTCTGAAGTGATTAATGCTTGGCTCCGTAGTGCCTCTTTCTGAACCGAAGCTGCAGTGAAAATTGAAACGGAGTGTACAGTTCGTGGTCCTTAGCCAAAACATCATGGGTTCGAGTGCTTAGAAATACAGCTGGTGATGCAAACAAAACCTGGAATTTCACCTTATGTCAGCAATAGTTTCTTCTTAGTTATTTTTCCCCTTACCTAATTTTTCCAAATTATAGCTAGATTTATGAGAATTTCCAGGAAAATGGGGATGGTAAGGATCATCAGCTTAGTCCCACGCAAGTAACATGCAGGGGTCATGTGGAAGGAACATGATCTCTAGGTGTGAGGCTAGAGTTCGTGGTAAGATCGTGTGTGGAGAGGAGGTGTAGCTTTTATAGGAGCCCTCGCTGTGGAGCCTGGTGATATAAATAGGGCTCATATGACATTGTTTCCCTTCCAGTCCTGGGGACCAAGCAGAGGAAGACATTTCATTACTTAAGTTGCTAATACAGCTAACTTAAACAACAACCTCTTTTAATTTAGAGAACCAGAATAACGCATTGTATGGTAGAAAATAATACAGTTAAGATATAGTAATGACACTACTACTGCTCTGGACATCAATGTAGTTTTTACCCCGGTGGTATTAGGGAAATTGAGAGAGGCAGAAATGCTGTCTTCACTGAAGGTTTCCCCCCAGTGGATCAAAGCCAGCCCCATTTCTGGGCTGACCACATGCACATAAACGATGCGTAATGTATGGATCCCCAGGCAATACTTGGAATTTACAAGATGGATTATTTTTTCCCTCTGAAGAGCTGTTCCTGTAAGCATGATTCATTCAAATGAAACTCAGGAAAATTCCCTTTTCCTTTTGCAAACAGAGAGGTAGAAAAATTCACAATGACCTGGAACACAAAGTCATCGGTCATGGGACATTTGGCTTTGGCTTTTGCCAAATGGTGAGTTGAATGACTCTTCCCATCATGAAACATGAGGACTAAACTCTGAAACTCAAATATAGAGATACTCAAGACCCATGTTAATTGTTAACTTCACAATCTCTACATTAAACGTTGGTCTTACTCTTAAGCATTTGCAAAACTGGTTGTTGTTGACAAAGGAAGCCCAAAAATAACTATGACCTTGAATGCCCAGATCACAAGCCTAGTGAGGTCACCATCCACACTGTGAGACGGACACCGAGAAAGTTGTAAATCTAAAGTCTGTGTGAATGGAGCTCAATCCTGGGTCAGGGCCCCTCAAGGAGCCACACCCAAAGGCCTCTTGGCTATTGTTTAGCTTATTTCTGCATTTTTGAATAGACAATTCACAACAAATGATATAAAAGTGGCCCTTAAACATACAGAAGTTACTCTTTCTCATAATTTGAGGTATATGATTAAAGTGACTTTGAAAGACCATTTCTCATCTAGTGGATTAGCAGAATTAATAACTTTAATTTAACAAGCTTATTTATTTTTTTATTTTAAAGAGAAACAAGGAAAAACAAAAAATGAACAAAACAAACAAATCCAAAACAATAGTGATAATAGTGATACAGGAGTTCAAGACGAGATGATAGGAATTTAACAATGGTTATTTTGCATATTGTTATCTTCAAGAGTTGTCAGATTACCAGATATAGGCATGCAAAACTGATCAAACGATATGAACACTAACTATTCCTTTCTTTGGACTAATAGAATTGGTAGCATAATCATCTTAGCACACACACACACACATATATATATATATTTTTTTCTTTTCATTTCTTTTTTTTCTTTTCCCAATCCTAGCTGTTCTTTATCTTCAAGCAGTTTCTTTTTCTTTCACAATATCCATTGTTCCTTTTAGATCTTATGTTCTTTTTCAGTTTCTTACACTAGGGGGACAATACAGTGCTTACATATGTGAGTCTGATTTATTTCACTTATGAATATGGTCTCAAGTTGCATCCATTTACCTATAAAAGCCCTGAGTTTATCTTTCTTGACAGAATAGTAGTATTCCATTGTATAAAAATACCACAATTTTTTATACATTCTTTGATTGATGGGCATTTCGATTGTTTCCAAGATCTGGCTATTGTGTTGCCATAAACATGGGTGCACACATACCGCTGTGGTATGATATTTTCAATTCTTCTGGGCAAATACCCAGAGGAGAATACTAGGTCAAATGGGACTGCTAATCTTAATTTTTTAAGCAATTTCCATACTGATTTCTACAGTGGTTGTACCACTGTGTATATTCCCACCAACAGTGGAGAAGAGTTCCTTTTTCCCCACAACCCCCTCCAGCATTTGTTATTGGTTGATTTCATGATGTTAACCATTATTTCTGGTGAGGTAGAATCTCAGTGTTGTTTTAATTTGTGTTTTTCAAATGACCAATGATGTTGAGCATTTTTTCATATATTATTTGCCACTT